GGGGAAACATAATTTGGTATGGATCAGGGAACAATTGAAGGTTTAAGGGATTAAAGCCCATAAAAGCCCACTGGACAGTATTATTGGCTCCCCTTAACAGATACGAGATGAATGTAGAACAAATAAAGTCATTTTAAAAGCACTAATAATAATCTACAATGTGCTAATGAACAGGAAAACTGCTCTTCCTTGTTCTCTTACTCTGTGCACTGTCCAGCCTTCCAGAATGGTTCAATATGATGTATCTTATTAATACAATAGATTGTCTTTTATCAAAGGATTAGAATTCAACAAGATACAATTTGCATGAAAGTCTCCCTGAAAGAGCAAGTGGCTTGCTGATGGCCAGCTAGAGAAAGGACGTCCAGTTTTCCCATCTCATCCAGAGCACTATCTACCCTTGATGAAAAGTCAAGGCTTGACATCAGGAAGAACCCATTTCTTTTTTCCCCTGCTCTGCTCCTCCATGAAGATATGGGAAGCCTGAAGTGAATTCTGGGTCCCTAGTTTCTGGAAGGTACAACAACAACAAGTACAAACTTCTTGACAGCCCACTGACCTAAGGAGCAGCATGCTAAGGAAAAAGGGTCTAAGGGCTCAGGGAAGTTAAGAATTACGTACAAGATCACACAGATAACAAATGGCAGGAATAGTATCTAAGTTCAGGTCTCCTTGACTTGAAACCCATGCTATTTCATCGACAGCCTAGGTCCTCCAAGCAATATCATACATGTCTGTACATATATGCACACCCACCTACAAACATGCATATACATATGCCTCAGCCCAGAACAACATGCTCAGACCCAGAGTTCAGAGATCCCATCATTCCCTCCCCTAATCTTTCCTCTCTTCATTCACACCAGATCTTATTTTAACCCAGATATTCCCATCCCTAGCATGTTCAGTTCTTGATCCCAGCCGATGCTGGTGTATTTCTCTCATCCCACCTATAAAATACAGGTATATTCCTACTCTCTTGCCTAATCCCAAGGTCTAAGACAATTCTTTCCAACCTACCAGGAGAGAAAAAATCATACATACACACACAAACTTCTCTGGGCAGACTCAGTCAGAAGATGTTTTCTGCTGAAAAGGATTCATCAGTAAATGCCCTTCCTCTGAGCACATAGTGGTTGATTTCTCCAAGAGCAAAGACTGGCTTCAGCTTCCACTCTCCCTTATACCTCAGCCTCTATTAAAATGACACAGGGCTTCAAAAATCCCCATCCACCCCAACTAAGGTGATTCAGCCTTCAGGGTTTCATGATCCAGCAAGAGGTGTTCAGTCAACCAAATTCTCTCCATAGTCGATGTCAATTTATACGTGTCCCTCCCACCAGACCTGAAACTGGTTGCTGAACAAAGAAGCCTTCATCTGTGTCCAGATTTCCAGAGTTCCAGTGACATTTAAATTGAGCCACATTAATGATTCAAATGGGTAACCAACCATAGATGTGAGAAAGTATGGGCCATGCAGAATCCTTGCTCTTTCCTAAAGAAATATACAGAAATGGTCATCTAAACCATTTTCTACATAAGCTGCAGCAGAATCAAAACACATCAACCCAGTCGACTTTGTCAAACCACCAGCTCTCTGGTTCAATAATTTTATTAATTTCACACACTCTCCTGTTATTATTTAAACATACTCATTTAAACCATTACTGGTGCCCTGTTGAACCCATGTGGTGAATGATTGCTCTAGCCTACCTAAGGCATTTGATAACCAGAAGGTTGGTGGTTCAAATTCACCAGCCACTCCATGGAAGGAAGAACAGGCAATCTACTTCCATAGAGATTTACTGCCTTGGACTCAGGACCATAATCTCAGGGGACATCATGCTAAATTGGCACAACATTTAAAAAAAAAGAAAAACTCACTGCCATCAAGTCGGATCTACAATCTACTTTGGTGAGTAGCGACTGGGGTCTTAAAAGTTTTTGAGCAGCCATGTGAGCTGCAACTGTTGGTCTCTTCTCATCTGAAGCAAAGAAAAGTGAAGAAAATCAAAGGCATCTAGAAACAATTAGTCCAAAGATAAGATGGACCACAAGGACCTCAGCCTTCATGACCCTGAGACCAGAAGAACTACGTGGTGCCTGGCTAACCAATGCCAACCACTTGGAAAGGGATCAAAACTGGAGATCCTGGATAGAGTGGGAGGAAAAATGTAGAACAAAATTCAAAAACACAAAAATGACCAGAATTACTGGTCAGATAGAAATTGGTGGAACCCCCAAGACTATGGTCCTCGGGTTACCCTTCGGGCCAAGAAATAGACTTACTTCCATAGATTGGCTCTCAGCCCAACAGTAAAAAGACCTACATGCAGAACACCCACCCTAGGGAGATGCACCCCTTAGATCAATCAGCCATGAGACACCAGAGGGGCAGCATTCACACAGAGGGAAAGCTGGACAGACAGGAATGCCTAGTTAAGAAGGGCACCAGGAGGAGGCAGTCACAGGGAAGGGAGGGGAGGAGAGGTTTTTATGATTGGGGATGGTAATCAGGGTGTGAAATCAAATGTGCATGAACTGTTGAATGTAAAACAAAATTTCTTTGTAAATTTGCACCCAAAGTGCAATTAAAAAAAAAAAATTACTGCCTCAGAAACCCAATGGGGGTCGCTATGAGTCAGAATTGACTCGATGCAGTGGGTTTGGGTTTGGTTTTGGTTTTGGTTAGCAGGTAAAAAGGCCAACAACCTCCTCTATAGCTCACAGAAAGTATTGGAAGCTCAGATATAACTCATATTCTCATAGATATTCATTGACTCCATTCAAAATGTCATACAGGTGGCTGTATGACACAGCTCCCTCAGCTGGCCCTTCTTTCCTGAGCTCTCTGCCTCTCTTTTCCCTGGTCTAGACCATACGGTGCAGTGTTTAAAGCATTTGGCTGCTAACTGAAAGATCAGTAGTTCAAAACCTCCAGAGGCTCTGGGGGAGAAAAATGTGGCAATCTGCTTCTGTAAAGATTACAATATTGGAGACACAATGGGGCAGTTCTAACTGCCCTATAGTGTGGTAAGGTTCTATGTCAACTTGGCTGGGCTTGGTTGAGGGCTGGGCAGCTGGTGGTAGTTATTCCCCATGGTGAGATTGGTAATTAACTCCATGGTGGAAACTGCTGGAACAGGTGAGTAGCTGCTTTGGGGATATAGGGTGTTTCCAGGATATAAGAAACTTTGAGGAAGGTCTCTAGCTTTTTGGCATGCTTGAACCTTACAAGTAGCCAAGTCGTTGTGCAGCAGCCTGCCATGCCCTGCCGATCTTGGGACTTCTTCTAGACTTGAATTAGTGGCCTGTCGTGTTGTTTGCTAACATCGGGACTGTGCCTTTGTACTTGTCAACCTTAGGTTTGTCACCCTCAGCAGCCAACAGCTGTCTGGATGAAGAAAAGCCTCCAGCTTCAGTGGGCCAGGAGCAGGAGGCAGAGCTGAAGCCCAAGGTTGAGGGGCTTTCACCCAGCCCCTAGAGCCTGGCACTTTGAACTTGGACTTAAAGCCTCCCAAACTGTAAGAGAATAAACTCTTGTTTGTAAAAGCCATTCCATTTGTGGTATATTCCTGTCAGAGTGGCACTAGGTAACCAAAACATACAGGGTTGCTATAACTTGGAATTGACACAACAGCAGTGGGTTTGGGTTTAAGACAATTACAGTAGCCTCCCACCTGCTGATCCCCATTCCAGATCTCTCCCTGCAAGTGTTTCCAAATTGATCCTTCTAACTAGTTATTTTGATCATGTCTTTAGATCCTCACTACCCACAGTATTGGCTCTGCTGAGCCCTTTATGTTCACAGCAGTCTCTTCTAGAGTCATGAGGGTTATAAGCTAGAGACTGATTCAAAGCCCTCTGCTTCCATTTGTTCTATATATTCAGTAACCATGTAAGATTCCCTTTCAAAGGACTCTATTGCTAAAAAGCTTAAAAACCACCAGCCTGCAGGATAGAGATGATTCTTGCCTACTATTCAAGGTCCCCCTTGATCTGGACTGAACCTAAATGCCAGCCTTATCTCTCACTTGCTCAAATACTTACTGAATACCTATTATGTACCAGGTAGATAAAAGATCCACTGCAAATAGATTTTACCTTCCTCTTCCTGTATCGTCATTTAAATACCTGTTCTTCAAGAACCAGTCAAACTTCGCCTCCTCTATGAAGCTCTCTGAATATTCCAATCCTAATTCCTTCCCTTAATTCTCCTACTATCTCTGGCCTATAAATCAATTGGCACAAAGAATCCTGCCCTTGTGTTTGATTACTTTTTCATAGTACAAATCTAACCATGAACTCCCTTCATACCAGGTTTGACATTCCTGGAAGAAAAGGACCGTGTCTGAAGACTCTATATGGCTTAGCCTGCCCAGGATAAAGCTATGCCCATCACAGGCCCTCATTAATTATTTATCATCAATGAACTCTGACCTGAAAACCCTTCACTTGTCCCTGCAGGTGATAGATACTAAAATAGAATAGGATAGCCTGACCCAACCATGGCCCCCCACTCCAACAATTTAAAAAAAAAGAAAAATGAAAGTAAGGTTGGCCTTCCGAGTTAAGTCATAAATCATAATATACATAAAATATGAATTGATATAAATAAAAATGTATAAGCTCTAAATACTAAGCCTTCTTCTCAAGCCACACCACCTCCACCCACTCTCCCATATGACTAGCTAGTTTCTACATGCCCTTCAAGTTTCTTCCTAGAAGCCTTCCATATCATTTGCCACTATTCACTAGATTGGGTTCCCCTCTTCTGTGTTCCCACAGAACTCTGTGCTTGCCTCTGTATTATACTGTAATTACCCCTTACTTTTACCTGTCTCCCTTCTTTAGGGTGTGCTTGTAAATATTTAACAATAGGTTGGTGGGGAGGGAGCCTAATTGGTAGCATTTGCCAATTTCTCTTGTGTAAACATTTCCACTATGACAAATTTCAAACTACCAATGTGATATCACTGAAACATGTGGAGTTGGGTAGAGGTGTACAGCCACATACCATTATACCATTTTGCAGTACCTCTACTGTACAGATACAATAGACATAACCTCAAAGGTATAGATAATAGTAAAGTAATTAGGAAGTGATGAACTTTGAGTATTTATTACATTTTAGAATGTAATTGATTTACTTGTAAATTTATATACTCTAATTTTTCATAATGGTTGTGTTTAATAAGTAGCTCACAGAATCCTGAAAATTTAACAATTAGCTTTTGAAAGATGGTAAGTGCTGGCCCCAGCACATCACTGTCCCCACTAGAATGTGAGTTCCATAAGGTTCAGGAAGGTGTCTTACTTCTTTCTGTATTCTTAATCCCTGACACATAATAAGCCAAAAAAAATCTCACTGCGGTCGAGTTGGACCGGACTCATAGCGACCCCTCCTTGGGTTTCCGAGCGGTATCTCCGCAGAAGTAGATTGCCCAACCTTCCTTCCGAGGAGTGGCTGGTGGGTTTGGACCACCAGCCTTCTAGTTAGCAGTCAAATGCCTTAGGCACTATGTTACCAGAGTTCCTTGACACGTAATAGTGCCCAATAAATTATGATTAAATGAATTGACAAAATAGTAAAGTATAACTACTATCTAGTCCATCTTTCCTCACTTTTCTCATTAAAATAATTATAGCTTCATCCCCCTTGATTACTCCTTCTTCCCCGATCCTCTTTTCCCTATTAACTTCTTTAGCCAGTCCCCTGCATTGGTGATACATAATCAGGAGAATGGCAGAGAGAGAGAACCAATATCAACTAGAGAAGAGGAAGGAGAGGAAGAAGGGTTGCTGCTAACTGTGTCATTTCTTAGGCTCTTTCCATTGCTGAGAAAAATTCAGGCAATGAGTGGAAATGAAGGGACCCTAAAAGAGATGTCAGAGGGCAGGAGACAGAAAAGCCTCTGTGCAGGCCGTCTCTGGGTGTTAGAGAATGGGGAGGCAAGGAAAGGGGAGTCCGAGAAATGCTCCTAAAAGTTATAAACTGTATCTCCTCTGAAAGTCTTCAAGGAAAGCAAATAAAACTCAGCCAGCCAAGGACTATACTTCTTTAGAGTTGACCCCATGCAGATTCTGGACTACATGGGGCCCAAGCATATTATGTTTGTGCTACAGATGAAGCAGAGTGAAGAGAGGCAAACTCACTTAACGAAGGCATAACAACTTTGAACCAGAGTAAGATTATGCTGAATGCATTAAAATCCCTCAACAAAGACAGAGTCCTTTAGAAAAGGATAACAGAAAAGTAAGAATCAGACAAAGAAAGCCCTTGGTTCAACCCATCCCACACTATCTAGGAAAGAAAATAATTTAATCATCAGACTTAGTCATTTGGTTCAGCCTCAGGTCACATCCCTGTTGTAGAGTTTGACCATAACATAGTGAGTTGCTAACTCACTATGTAGCCTTCTGATCAATTTGGTCTCCTCCATGGTTCTCTTTCAGGGAAAAAGAAAGCAGTAGCGGGCCCTCAGGAATATCTTGCCGGTAACAGTTTTCTTTACAAATAAACAGGCACTCTGACTGTTGTGCTTCAGGTTCTCATGAGTTCATTAGCATGACTCTGCTTTTCCAAGTCAGGCAACCCTGGGGACAATAATTAAGACAGGATTTCTGAACCTGCAGGGCTCTGGGCAAACTAGAGCACGAATCCAATCCAATCCTAAAGTCAAAGGCCAATCTGACCAAATTTAAATTTCTACTTCCAGACTCATGAGAGACCTTGCACTTGAAGATGTCCAAGCAATAGGTTCAGGACTTCATGGTGCAATCCTGCCATTGAGAGATACCATCTACACATGGGCTGCCACAGATACTCTTTTAGTGCTATCACTTCAGCTTACAATAAGGCTGACTGATTGCAATAACTCACACAGACTCAAAGATGATATGTATCTGTAAGCTAAAGCTTGTGGGTAATTGTTATTAGTAGTTGCCATTTATTGAAAGTTGACCGTACTTTAAGTGTTTTACCCCCATTATCTCATTTTATCTTCAGAACAACCCTATGAGGTAGGTACTATTATCTCCTGAGGCACTGTGATAAAACTTGACTAAAAGTCCCACATAGCTAGTAAGCGGAGAACAGGCACTCAAGTGCTCTAATCCAGGACTTGTGCTCTTAATAACAATGTCCACTGACTTAGAATAATGTCTACAGATCATCAGGCCAAGGGACACTCAATCCTTATCTCCCACTCTCAAGGTTTTTTACTTGTGGCCAAACTAGACCAAATGGGAGATAAGAGGGGTGGGAGGGGTGAAGGACATAAAACTGATGAGTGATCAGAAAAAAAAAAAAAAAAAAAAACTCACTGCCATCAAGTCGTTTCAGACACATAGTGACCCTCATTGGGTTTCTGAGGCTGTAAATCTTTACAGCAGTAGATATCCCCATCTTGTCTTTCTTCTGCGGAGCAGCTGGTGGGTTTGAACTGCTGACCTTCCAGTTAGCACTCAAGGGCCTCATCCACTATGCCACCAGAGCTCCTTATGAGTGCTCTAGGGCCTGTGATACAGCCCTACCTCATTCCACTGGTTGTGGGAAATTGCAGTGGTTACTGGAGTCAATATTATTAACTGTACTGAACTTGGAATTTCTATTCTCAGGCCTTCATACAAGCCCATCATGATGCATCACAGTTAGCTGGCAGCTGTTGACATCCCTGTAATGTGCTCCTTCATAAACAAGCTCAAGAACAGGTATGTTACTAATCACATTCCTAAGAGCCCAATTTACAGACTGCTTTCTTCAATACCCAGGGGAAAAAAATTCTTAAGTGGGCTGTCTGAAAATGTAAAAACCTAAGATAAATGCTTGAGCTCAGACAGAATGAGACAAAGAGAGAGAAAGACTAAAAGAAAATGTCCCCCTCATTTTGTGGTGCTTTGGAAGTCAAGCTTATAGAAAGCAAAGCTCTTCCATGTGTGTGGTTTTGATGGGCTACCATAGACATTCATAAGTTAAAAACTGTGGGAAAGGTATGCTGAAATAATCTAAAAATCCTTACAAAGAACAAAAAGTTACAGAATTAACTTAAGAGACATTGAAGTTATTTAACATGAAAAAAAAATCTAAGAAAAAAGCATGTTCAAGTTTTTTACATAGCTTATTAGTGTTCTGTTTGGTTTAGCCTAGTTTCAGGATTCATCTAGAAATTAGGGGGGGAAAAATAGGTCAGTTCTACAGTGGCAAATTTCATCAAATAAAGCCCTTGCTTCAGAAAACTTATATAAAAATATTCTTGTCTGGATCTGTCTGAATAATCTAAAACTTAGCAAGCAAAATCCTAAAAACTCAAATCTGGGTGTGGAGAAATCAAGAAGTTTCTTTCACTGACTGTTTTTGCAGTTGGACATCTTACTATGCCAAAAAAGTATTTCCAAAATGGAAAATTTGGTTTCAATTATCATGGTTAAAATACACATCTGCTTCAGGCAGCCGTGATGCTCAAAAATTTCTACAAGTTTCTACCCATGACTTCTGAGGGCAGGGGGAAGACTAAGTAACTTTGCAGTAGAAACAGAATCAATGTTGCTGAACACTTCTACTTCCCTAGGTCTTGCCAACATTTTACCTGGTGTAGTAGTTACGTTTGTGTGTCAACTTGGCTGGGTCTGGTTGAATGGCTGGGCAGCTGGATGTAGTACTTCCCATGATGAGGCTGGTAATCAACGCCATGGTGGAATCTACTGTGAGCAGTTGAGTAGCTGCCTTAGAGATGTGGTCTGCTTCCTTTATATAAGGAGAAGCCTTGGGGAATGGTCTCTAGTTTATGGCATGCTTGAACCCTGCATGTAGCCAAGTCATTGTTCAGCAGCCTGCCATGCTCTGCCGATCTTGGCACTTTAATGGACTTGAATTAATGGCCTGCTATGTAGTGTGGTAACATTGGGACTATGCCATTTTACTTTTCAGCCTTGGGCTTGTCAGTCTCAGCAGCCAACAGCTGTCTGAGCGAAGAAAAGCCTCCAGCTCCAGTGGGCTGGGAGCAGGAGGCAGAGCTGAAGCCCAAGGCTAAGGGGCTTTCACCCAGCCCCTAGAGCCTGGCACTTTGAACTTGGATTTCTAGCCTCCCAAACTGTAAGAGAATAAACTCCTTTTTGTTCAAGCCATCCCATTTGTGGTATATTCTTGTCAGAGCAGCACTTGGTAACCAGAACACTTGGCACTGCAAAACTCAACATTTAGAGAGCATCGACTTTCTAGGTCACGTCTTCTTGAAAAATATGATCTACTACTTCCTGGATCAAGGGTGAAAAGATAAGCTCCTTAGGCTCAGCTCTCTGAGGTCCAGAAGCAGGCTACCATCATTAAGGACAAGTCAATCCTTTCCACTTGCTCCCTCTGGGATTGCCTCATACAAATTCACCACAGAATGCTGGGCACATAATACCAATCTCAAGTAGAGGAATCCCTAGGCTTCTAATGAAAAAAAAAAAAAAAATTAAGAAAAAGAGACTACCAACTTCCCCTGTTTATGATGCTTCTTCCAAAAATTGTACTTTTTTTGCAATTCTTGCAGATCGGCCAGAGGCTGGACCTGTGAATTTATTTAAATCTATCCACAAGGCTGATTTCAAGAACTGAAAATAAAATTCCAGTAGCAAGGATATCTGCCATATCCAGTATCTACCTACTCTATTTGTCGTTGTTGTTGTTATGTGCCGTCGAGTCGGCGCGACTCACAGCAACCCCTCCTTGGGTTTCCGAGGCAGTATCACTACGGAAGTAGGATTGCCCACCCTTCCTTCCGAGGAATGGCTGGTGGGTTTGAACCGCCAGCCTTCTGGTTAGCAGTCAAGTGCTTTAGCCACTATGCTACCAGAGCTCCCATAAACTAGTTCTGAAAAATACTGACACATTCAAGGTCATACAGCTTATAAAGTAGATTGACTACTAGGTCTGTGTTACTCCAAAGACTGTGCTTCTAACAGCGTTTCAAGGTAGTTATTTTCATACCCTCATGGCAAAAAAGGGAAAATTGCTTATTAGAAATCTCTTGACTGAATACGTGTAATGCTTAAAAACAGCCCCAATTAAGCCTTAGCAGGTTAAGTATGGAACAAGCATCAGATTCAGGATTGCCATGTGATCCTAGACCAGTCATTTGGCTTCTCTGGCCTGGGTTTCCTAGGGAACTTGTAAAACAAGACTACTTCCCCCTGCTCTACCCCTACCTCAAAGCATTCCATAGGGTCAATTACCCGTGCAGAGATAATAAGGTTGATATCCAAGGATGAACCTATTTGCCAAAGGTTTCAATCTCCTCTCTCACTGAATTTCTTTTTAAGTATCAGAGCTACCCACAGAAGTTATCAGTTAATCAGCAAATAATTACCCAGCACCTACTATAAGTGCAGCCCCATAGTACTCAATGAGGCATATTCAGAGGTACAAGGCATCATCTTTGCCCTTGAGGACTTGTCTCCAAGTTTGAGGGACTTGTAAGATGTGAAACAAAAGCACAAAAAGATGTGGTGGGCCTATTATTCAGCACCTAACTGTGAGATACAAACTCGAAAAAACCAAACTCATTGCCACTGAGTCGATTCTGACCATAGCAACCCCTACTGGGTTTCCAAGACTGTAAACCTTTACAGAAGCAAACTGACTCATCCTTCTTCCATGAAGTTCAAACCACTCACCTTTTGGTTAGCACCTAAACGTTTTAACCACTACACCACCAGAGCTCCTCGAGATGCAAACTAACCAAAGGAAAAGAAAAAAAAAACTCACTGCCATAGATCGATTCTGACTCAGAGCAACCCCTCCTTGGGTTTCCAAGGCAGTATCTCTATAGAAGTAGATTGCCCAATCTTCCTTCCGAGGAGTGGCTTGTGGGTTTGAACCACCAGCCTTCTCGTTAGCAGTCAAATGCCTTATACACTATGCCACCAGCCACCAGAGCTCCCGAGATACAAAACAAAGGCACTGAAATTAGTAGGAACATAAGTCAGGACTAGAAAATCTGAAGTTTTCCAAGACAAAGTGGAATTTCAACACAGCCTTGATAGATAAGAGCAAGGGAAAGGCATTCCAGGCAAGAGGAATTCTAGCAGCTAAGGTTCTGAGGCTGGATGGAGTAGTCTACTGGGCACAAGCCTGCTGGACCTGAGATGAGATATGGGTGAGCAGTGGGAGTGGAGACAAGAGCCAGATTTCAGAAGACTTGAATGCCTGGCACTGTAAGTCGATCTTGGAGTAGGAACAAAAGACAGTGAGCTAAGTGACCTGGTGAATACTGGAAACTGCTCAGTGAGAATTTCTTATTCCATCTCTGCCTCCAGCAGATGCACTTGGCACCTGAAGACTAACCAGGCAGTAGAGGAAAAACAAAGGAGTGTGTACAACAAGGTGTTCTAAAGCCATCTCAGCTGAGAAGTACCAGGGTGTTGAAGAATGAGAGAGCTCCTTAAGGGTAGAGTCGCATTACATTTCTGAACACGGAAATGCTGTGCACAAAAAATGCTTGAGAAGCAATACTTATGTCACCTCTGGTCAGCTGCCGCCAGTGCCATATTCAGCACTAATATGCACAAGGAAGGCAAATAGGCCTTGTCAGGAACCTCTACATCTCCATCACATCACCTCTACCCTTCTGCTAGCTACCAAACCAATAGGAGGACACTGCCCACCTCTGCCCCAGGCCTAGAATCAAGCCTTCAGTTGACGGACTGCCTAGCAAGCTGCGTGGAAGTTCATCACTACACTCCTGTTACAAAGAACACCTGAGAGAGGCGTACCATCAGCACATGCAGTCTGAGCAGTCCCAGACTCTTCCTGTGGGAGTCACATCAACAAACACAATCTCTGGGGCCCCTACAGACATAAGGATAAGATGACACCCAACAATCACACCAGTTCTAATATGGCCTAGAGATGCTTAATGACCTCGCTCTTTCCCAGAAGATGCAGGAGTCAACAGCGACCCATGCAAAGGAAAGTGTTTATTGAGGTACTCTCCAGTGTTGACTTAGTTAACTCATCATCATTTAGCCAGCCAGTTACTGTCTGGATCAAACAGGCATCTCTGGTGCATTGCCATGGCCCAACCCCTCTTCTCTCCTCAAGGAATCCAGTGGCAAGCCTTGTTCCCTACCAGCTGCAGACCCAGACTGGAGAAGTTGGTACTCAGGAGATATTTCAGCCCATAGAGAGAGGAACTGATCCATCCCTACCCTGCACTGATCACCTTTTCACAACGAAAAAAAATAAGACCCTGGGAGAATAGTTTGAAAATACACATGCCTGTGCCTGCCCAGGAAATAAACCCTCACTACTCAGATCTGGGAGTTAAAAATCCCTTCAGCTGATTATTTCAGAAGAAGCCCCTGATGGAAAGAAGAGTTCCTCTAAAATCTTCCAGTGTCATTCATAAACTTTCAATGCAAATGGAACTCAGTGCAGAGCAAGTGTCTTCTGAATGGGTTTCTCTCCCTCTTTCCTAAAATGTGTGCATGTACATAGACACACTTCTAGGAAAGACACCAGCAAGACACGCTTGCTGAAGATTTCAGCACTTCAGGGTGAAAATGCAGGCATTCTATGCCAGGTCAGCCCTGCTCTGACATCAAAAACATCCCCCACCAAAAAACAGCCACCCTGGGAAAGGAGCCAGGAAAAGGAAACGCCTCCTTGAAACAGCTTGAGAAAGGTAACCCTGATTCAGCCCATGCTAAAACTATTCCTCAACACTAGCCGGCAAGTCCCTTTTCTCAGGGCAAGCAAACCAATTTCTGCCTTTAAGAAAGCCAGCTCACTGGAGATTCAAGCTCTGGAAAGGGCGATTTCGAAAGGGGCTTCCTTACTTTAACTCGACTGCCTCTTGGGATCCATCAGTGGCCAAGTCTTCGACCTATGCCCAGCGAATGCAAACACAAAAGCTAGCGGCTGCACCACGAGCACTCGTTGACATACACGTATAACACACACTTACCACACATACCTTTCACTCTCCATTGTGCGAGGCCCAGCCGGGGCGGTAGCCGCTAAACTCTGCATGCGCCTGGGAATCCTAACCCTGTTCCCCAAGTCTTCTCGCTTCTCCGGGTTCTCCCAGTCCACCAGCGGGGGATCAGATCAGCAACAGTGATTCAGCATGGCTGCAACTGAAACCTCCTCCCTCTAGATCCTCCTTCCTCTGACTTACTCACGGCAGCTTCTACCGCAGAAGCAGCAGCAGCAGCAGAAAATGTCTTACCCAGAGCTCCCTGCAGCCCTTTCAGCTGCTAAAAGCAGCAACCCACTTGCTCCCCCTCCCCCGCAGGCTCGCTGCTCCTCGGTCTCCTAGGAACGGCTGCTGCTCCAGCTAACCAAGTGCTGTGCCACTTTTCCAGCTGCCTCCGCATCTGCCTCTGCATCCTCAGCCTAACCAACTGACCAGCTCAGGGGCTCCCACCTCCTTTGCTTAAGCTGCAAAGACGCAGGCAGTTCCTCACCAGCCGCCGGAGAAATATTGGCCTCCACCCTCTCCCCTACCCCAAAGGCTATATGACTGGCCAGATTGCTGGAATGAGGAGGCCCCTCTAGGCTTGCAGTGAAGTTTATCCACCTGCGGAAATTTACTAGAAGGTCACAGGTCATGTTCCAGTTCCTCCTCCAGAAACCTACAGTAGCTCTGAGAGTCTGCCTAGCAGGGGGAATTAGGGAAAAGAACTGACAACACAGGGAGAAATTAGAAAAAGGGAGTTGGTAGAAATAGGTGAAACTGAAACACATCCTATTTGAGCACAAGAGACCAGATTATCGCAGTAAAATCATTGTAATGAATACTGCATTCGTGCATTTCTCTACACTGAAAGACCACACATTTCATAGCACAATGCAAAACCCTAAACTGTCTTTCCTCCAGTCTGCTGTATTGACATTGGATTTAAGCTGTGGCTCAAACTAGTATGTCTCCCACTGAACTCCCATCTGCAGCTAAAGATCTCACACACTCTGTATTCTCCGGCTGCTGAGCCTCAACTCAGACTAATTTCATTTAACTCCTCCTGCCTGGAATGCCAGGAGCTCTGGTAGCATAGTGCCTAAAGGCACTTGACTGCTAACCAGAAGGCTGGTGGTTCAAACCCACCAGCCACTCCTCCAAAGGAAGATGGGGCAATCTACTTCCATAGTGATAGCGCCTCAGAAACCCAAGGAGGGGTGGCTATGAGTCAAGTCCGACCTGACGGCACATAATAACAACAACAGCCTGGAATGCCTTCTCCTATCCCAGCAGTCCTCCCTCTGTGAGACTAGGTCATATCCCATCTCCTAATCAAATCTTCCCTGATCATATCAACAGCCAACCACCTTCAAAATAGCCACAACATGTATCATTACTACTCATCTCACACCTAATATATGGTCTTGGATAATTATTTTTTCACATATCTTGTTTCCCAAACTAAAGCATAATCTAGTGGAAGGGAAGGGGCCAGTCTATGACTCTCAGACACATTCAAGTGGTTTAGGGGTTGGGGCAATCAGCCACTGGTGATTGATTAAATCAGCACAAAACCTGGTACAGAAGCTTCCCTAATGCATCAGAAAACTCAGACAAGAGTATCTCTGTTCTGGGAACCTTCAGCGGGGTTCCACACTACCGCTGCCTAGCTGAGTGACTTTCAACAAGTCTTTTCCCTGCTCTGGACCTCAGTCCTTCATCCATAAAATAGGGTCAGACTAGACAATCTCTAGAGTCCCTTTCAGTTTCAAAATCATGATTCTAAAAATGTTTTCAATATTCCATTTTTTTTCTCACTAACCTTTAGGATTAAGAAGAAATTTTTATTGGACTCTACAATGTTTTGCAGAGCTTTAGTGAAGATAACACAATGTATGCGAAAGTACAAGAAATTAACAGTAAATCTATTATTGTTGTTATAATTTTGACCTGTCAAATGTCTTCACTGTCTCATGCCCCGAAACCAGCAGTTAAAGGAGAGGAGGGAGCAGATACTGAGATAACAGAATGTAAGAGCAATGTAAACTTCATACAGCCTTCATAAGTCAAATTTGTTGGGTATTATTCTCAAAAATTGACATCCCTAATACCTCAGTGTCCTCTTAGATGAGGCTATTACCCAAAGTCACTTTCTCAAGTAAGGAGAGGCATAAGCAATTTTATTTACACCCCACAGCCCTATATCACCACTTCTTCCTTTCACAACAATACCACTCATTTTTTTTTTTTCCTCTCTCTCTCTCTCTCTCCTTTCCTCCTCTAATCAAAGTATCTGCTCCAGATATTTCCTCTTGAGGTGAATCACAGGGACCAGAAGAAGCTGAAGTTCACAAATAAGGAAACAGAATCCCAGAACCCATGCCTGAGTACAGACACATACCAGGAGGAAAACTGGGTGATTCATAAAAAGGACATAAGAATGAGTCCCCCTCTGCATATGCCTTTTTTTTTTTTCCCCCACAACATGACAGGAAAAGGACAAAATACCACATCCAACAAACCAGAGAGGAAGAAAAGCTCAGAAAAGGAAATATTTAAGGACGGAGCATATCTAGAATTGAGAGCCAGTATGTGAATTCTACAGAATTCCTTTTGTAGCCCACGTTTGAAATGTTACCCAACGTCACTACAATATGCGTGTAGAAACCATATCACTACCACCTGCATACTTTATTCACTGTTCATTCTATCCAGCGAGAGGTAGACAGACAGGTCACACTCAGAGAAAGTCATCTAAAGAAGAAAGGTCACCTAGCAAAACCAGGGGAAGACCTGAGCCAAGAATCAAAATCTCCAGACTCTCAGGGCCCAGCTCCTACCCATCATCACTGGATTCAGAGCTACATTTTAGGTTTTCTACCTTATTACCCAAATGCTCTCCAGGCCATAGCCTGAATCTGTTGATCCAGACTAATTTTCCTGACTGGACTTCAGATTAATGAGAGTTGCTATTGGATTCTTGCAGAAGAGAATCAAAGCAACAAAAGTGGTCTGCCTGGAGGAAAAGGTCCCATTCTCAGATTACCGAGCACAGCACATACGGTCTCCCTTCTTGCCCTCCTTTCCATGCACAAAGCTTCGTTCATAGTTCATCAGTAGTATTCAGTGGCACTACTTCTCCACTCCAAAGTAAATTCCTCAACCATCTACACTAACTTTGTTCAGAATCCATCAGCTCTACATGGCTTGGGAAGAGACTGGGTTGGAGGAGAAACTTTGGAGGGTTTTTTGTTTGTTTTTTTTTTAGCTGAGTTTGGTCTAGAAAGTTCTCTTTTCCATACTCTGTCTCTGCATAAGGAACCAGTGCAGCATAGTTTATCTGAAGACAGCTAGGGCTGTCATTCTTCCTTATAAGTGTCTTTTTTCCTCTTTTCACTGCTTTTATCCTCCTTCTCTAGGACTTCAACTCCTCACATTTGCAGTACAGTGGTCCCACACCTGGTTGTGCATTAGAACCATCTGCCCAGCTGGTAAAAATTGCAGGTGTCAGGGGCTCAAAAGTCATGAGAAAACTTTTTAGGATTATGGAACTGTTCCATATCTTGATTGTATGACTGTATAAAACTACTACAGTTGATTAAACTGTCCACCTAAAAGGGGTGAATCCATTTTATTTTTTTGTAAATTATACCTTGATAAAAAAAGAAAAATGCAATGCAGGGTCAGGCTCTACCTCACACCTATAGAATCAGAGTCAGAGGAGCAGGAAGTTTAACAAACTTCACAGGTAACTCTAATGCATGGCCAATGTAAAGACCACTTAGAACAATGAAAAGAGCCCAGACTATTAATATCAGACCAGGTCTAAATATACCTACCAGAAACATAACCCTACAAGTTGCTTTATAAGTCTCAATTTTCTCATCTATAAAAAGGTGATAATAGTACCTACCTCCCATGGTTGTTAGGTGTAAATGTGAAAGTATATAAAGCACTTAGACGCCCAGCCTGTAAAGAGCACTTAGTAGCCATTAGCAGCTATTATTTTCATTGTCCATCCAATGCTACCAAACAATAGCTCTGTGAGTCCTTGGTGGTAGGATCAAGAAGAAAATCAGCTAGGGTACATGTGCCAGGGAGCACAGCTCTAGGCCTCTCACAGAACCAATTTTCGTATTTCCAGTGATCACTATTACCAACAAGTCAGCAAGGACTAGGTAAGAACCAGAGCTTAATTAAGGCCCAGATTCTGGCCACTTGCTGCGTGGACTCTCCCTCTAGCCCCTCAGAATTCCCCACCTCCACATTCCTACCAGAGAGCCAGGCAGAAACTGAAAAGAAACCTGAGGCCCCCAAAAAGTCAAAAGATAACAGCAACAGCAACTTATCCAGTGTAAAGTCTGGCTTCCCTCAGGACACCTCCTCTGAGGGTAAAAGACTCCATGCCCTGGAGTAGATTCAAGAGTGTAATCACCCATGCCATTTGTGTTCCACTTTGCAGCTTCACATCCATCATCTCCTTTGACTTAAGATAACATCCTCTGAATAGTAATAGCTTCCATTCCTTGAACATTTACTGTGAATCAGATGCTGTATTCAACACTTTACATGGACCCTCTCCTCTATATTCACAACAACCCTGTGAGAAGGGGCTATAATCCCTATTTTAAATGTGAGGAAAGTAGGGTTCTAAAAGTTAAATGACTAAAACAAAGCCCTATGGTAATAAATGGTGACGCTGGAATTAGAACCCAAGTTTGTCTGATCTCAGAGCCTACCATTAACTACTGTGCAGAGAAGGCACTACTCTCATCTTATTACCTCCATTTTTAGAGATAAGCCAATTGATGTTGAGCAATTGGCTCAAGATCACCCAGGAAGTTGGGGGCCAATTGAGTGTGGAACCAGATCTTCAGATGCCTGGTCTAATGCCCTTCCTACTTCATCTCTGCATGGAGAACAGCATTTGAACTCCCAAAGACATTACAACCCTTAAAGATATTACAGCCTAAAGGCTGGCTGCTATCTGAGACTTCCAAACACCTACTATAATAAAATGCTTTCACCTGGATTTCTCTGTTTCTTAACTTACCAACAAGAAAATTGCTCTTGAAGAAAGCTTGAGGAGCATCACTGGACCCTAAGAGAGTCAAAGAAAAGCCAGATGAACCATAGCAGCAATTAGGGTGCTTAACAGAGGCCATTACAATGCAAACATTTATTCCCCAGGGTCTTCCTAAATAGTTCTCGCTCCAATCTGTAACTTGTTACT